TGCTGCCACTGTGCCAATCCATCTCATTGGGGTGTGTGTGTGTGTGTGTGTGTCTTCCTTTTTTTCTCTGACCATCCACTTTACCAATCATTTATCCTTCTTCAAGGACAAGTCCCTCCTGATAATATGTTCCAAGTATGAGAGATGAAGTCTGGTTATCCTGGCTTCCAAGAAGCATCTAGCTGTACTGCTTCCAACACAGATTTGTTTGTTCTTTGGGCAGTCCATGGTACTTTTCAATATTCTCCTCCAACACTATAACTCAACTACATCAATTCTTCTACAGTCTTCCTTATTCACTGTCTGACTTTTACATGCATATAAAGTTATTGAAAATACCATGGCTTGGGTCAAGCATACCTTAGTCCTCAAACTGACATCTTTGCTCTTAAACACTTTAAAGAAGTCTTGTGCAGCAGATTTGCCTAATGCACTACATTGCTTGATTTGTTGATTGCTGCTTCCATAAGCGTTGATAGTTGATCTGAGCAAAATGAAGTCTTTGACAACATCAATCGTTTCTCCATTTATATGGATGTTGTTTATTGGTCCAGTGGTAAGGATTTTTGTTTTCTTTAAATTGAAGTACAAATCATACTGAAGGCTGTGGTCTTTGATCTTTATCAGTAAGAATTTTAAGTCCTTTATGCTTTCAGCAAGCAAGGTTTTATCATCTGAATATTGCAGATTGTTAATGATATTTCCTTCAATCCTGATGCCACATTTTTCTACATATAATCCAGTATCTGGGATTATTTGCTCAGTATACTGATTGAATGACTACAGTGAAAGAATTCAGCGTTGGTATACACCTTTCCTGATTTTTAACCATTCAGTGTTCCCTTGTTCTGTTCAAACAGCTGCCTCTTGGTCTATGTACAGATACTTCATGAGCAAAATTAAGTGTTCTAGAATACTCATGCTCTGCAATGTTGTCCATAGCTTGTAACAGGTAAACATCTTTATGGTATTCATGGATTTCAACCAAGATCTATCTGACATCAGCAATGATATCTCTCATTCATCATCCTCTTCTGAATCTGGCTTGAACTTCTGGAAGTTCACTGTCAATGTATGGCTACAGCTGTTTTTGTATTATCTTTATCAAAATTTTACTTGCATGTGATATTATCCAATGATTTCTGCATTCCACTGGGCACAGATATGGATATCTTCTAGTCAGTTGTCCAGATAGTTGTCTTCCAAATTTCTTTGGCATAGTTGAGTGAGGACCTCCAGTGCTGCATCAGTTTGTTGAGAGATTTCTATATGTATTCCATAAATTCCTAGAACCTTGTTCTTTGCCAGTGCCTTCAATGCACCTTGAACTTCTTCCTTCGGTATCATTGACTCTAGATCATATGCTGCTTCTTGAAATGGTTGACCATGGACCACTTCTTTTTGGTTCAGTGACTCTGTGTATTCCTTCCATCTGTTTTTGATGTTGTGTGTATCATTCAATATTTTGCCCAAATAATCCTTCAATATTTCAAGCTGAGGCTTTAATTATTTCTTCAGTTACCTCAGCTTGAGAAGTACTGAGTGTGTTCTTCCCTTTTGGTTTTCTAACTCTATATCTTTACACATTTCCTTATACTATTTGATTTTGTCTTCTTGAGCTGCCCTTGGAATTTTTCTATTCAGCTCTTTTACTTCCTTATTTCTTCCATTTTCTTTAGCAGCTTTAAACTGAAAAGCAACTTTTAGAGTCTCTTCTGATATCCATTTTAGTCTTTTCCTTCTTTCTTGTCTTCTTAATGACTTTTTGTTTTCTTCCTGTATGATGTTCTTGATGTCATCCCACAACTTTTTCTAGTCTTTGTTTTTCAGTGTCTGATGCCTCAAATCTGCTCTTCAGATGGCCTCTAAATTCAGGTGGGATATGTTCAAGATCCTATTTTGGATCAGCTGATGTTCTGTTCCACAGTCAGTCCCTGGCCTTGTTTTAGCTGATGATATGGTGCTTTCTCAGCATCTCTTTCCACAGCTATAGTCAATTTTATATCTGTGCATTCCATCTGGTGTGGTCCACGTGGATAATTGCCTTTTATGTTGTTTACAAAAGGTATTTGCAATGAACAAGTCATTGGTCTTGCAAAATTCTATCATCAGTTTCCAGCATCGTCTCTATCACCAAGGTCATCTTTTCCCACTATTGATCCTATTTTTTGTTTCCAACTTTTGCATTCCAATCACCAGTTATTATCAATATACCTTGATTGCATGTTTGATGAATTTCAGATTGAAGAAGTTGGTAGAATTCATCACTAGCTTTAGTGGTTGGTGCATAAATTTGAATAATAGTGGTATTAACTGGTCTTCCTTGTAGGCAATTGGATATTATTCAATCACAGGCAGCATTATGTCTCAAGACAGATCTTGATTTTTTTTTTTTTTTTACCATGATGAATGTGACAGCATTCCTCTTCAATTTGTCATTCCAGGCATAGTAAACTGCATGATTGTCAAATTCAAAATGGCCAATACCAATCTATTTCAGCTCACTAACGCCTAGACTATCGATGTTTATGTGTTCTGTTTTATTTCTGACAATTTCCAGTTTTCCTAGATGCATACTTTGTACATTCCATGTTCTGATTATTAGTGGATATTTACAGCTATTTCTCTTCATTTTGAGTTGTGATGCACCAGCAAATGAAGGTCCCACAAGCTTTACTCCATTTGAATCATCACGGTCAATTCTACTGTGAGGAGATAGTTCTTTCCCAGTCAAATTTTAAGTGACTTCCAACTTGAGGAGTTCATCTTCCTTGGTAAAGTGTCTGTTCATGTCCTGACTGAATTTTTAAATTAGGTTATTTGCTTTTTTTCTTATAGAGGTGTTGTTTCCTATAAATTTTAGAGATTAGTTCCTTATGTGATATGTTGTTGTAAAACAATTTTTTCAAGCCTCTGGGCTCCCTCTTTTAACTATTTTGCTGAAATCTTTTGATGCACACAAGTTTCTACTATCTAGCATGTCCTAGTCATCTATTTTGTCTTCTATTG